TTTCTCATGCTCCCACTGACCCCCCACATACATCTGGTGCTTGATCTCTCCCCTTCCTCATGCTTTGAAAACTGCTGCTCTGGCTAAACTGAATCAATGGCTCTTTGAGGAATCTGTTGTTTTCCAGGTGCTTAACAAGAAATCAGTTGATTGAAAAAAAACCAAACCCAAACAACCAAACCAACAACAAACCACTGTGGGTTGAGAAAGATCCCTTTGTTTAAAAAAATGTAAAAGAAATAAATGAAACCCCAGGATGTTTGCAAGACATCTCGGGGCTGGCAGTTTACCTACGTAAACTCACACCCTGAAGTCAAGGAAGAGGTGCTGGACCCCAAATTCCTGGGACAACACAAGGCACCAAGGTCTCCTTGGGCCTCCTGGGGTTCCATCAGCTTTTCCAGCGTGGCCTCCTTGTCTTTTTGCCACAGGTATGAGATCCCTGCTGTCACACAGGCGGCGAGTCAGGATTTATTTAATGATTTAATCTCCTGAAGCTTTCTCCCTGTGGGTGTCACTGCTTGAGGAAGGTATTTAACTATAAAATAAATGTTATGCTCCTGGGTTACTGATGCCTACTTACCTGGAAGGAAGGGCAGGTTTCAGCTGCATGTTACATTTTACAGAACACAAAATAATGGGTGTTTCTATTTCAGAGCCTTTTATAAGAAAAGCACTTTGATGTTTAAATGTCAGACATATGAAGAATAGTAATTATTTTGTCATCAGTCCTGTACTAATCTTTAGTGAGGATAAATGCACTTCTTTAAAAAGAACCCAACAACTTAGCCATGTTTTTTAAGGATTAACACCTAAAATTTGTCTACATTCTGCTCCTGGGACTACAGGTTCACCAGAATAACCAAATTGCTTCATCACTTAGTAATTCTGGATTTTCAAGTATATTGTGAAAATGGCTAATACAAGTCACTCCCAAATGCACAGGGTCCCTCTGTTTACGTACTGAACATTTGGGTACTGATTATATTATTTTTTAAACCTTTATCCGAGAAGTGATGCATTTCATTACCTTTTAATCCCCTGCCCAAATAAATATGGTTCTTCTATCTTTGCAAACACCACATTTTATACAGACTTTATTAATTTATTTTTTTTTTTAAGATCTTGACATTAAGTGAAAATTAATGTGCAATCACCAACATCTTTTCCAGAAACAAGTACTATTGACTCCTGTACTGCAGAACTTGTTGCAAACCTAGGAGACACCTGGTCCCTGGTTCCAGGGTGGGGGGAAACCTGGCTGAAAAGGACTTTTGTTTAAGAGTTTGCAGTGGAAAATCCAGTGGAAGTTGGCCTGGCCTGGAACTGCAAAATGATGGCCCAAGTGGGTACTTGAAGGTGACAAAAGGACCTCAGGTAAGAGTGGATTTTGACTGTAAGTTATCATTGAAATTAATCAATGTGAAATAAAGTAATTGTAGGACTTGTCTAATTGTGTAATAATTGGACACAAGTGTCAAGACTGAAGTGACCCTGTTTTCCAGACTGTTATTCTGAAATAAGTTCCTCAGGAAAATAGTCCTAATTTCTGTGTACCTCATCAGCAAATCTATATCCATATAAACAACACCCGTTATAATTTTCCTATGCTTTTTCCTATTTTGTTTTTCTTCCAAATAGTAAAAAGTCAATGGGCTTTTACAGCTGCTGGATCAGTCATGACAAAGCCTGAACTGAAAAAAAAAAAAATTGTTGCATAAAAAAAATTTGGACGATCTAAGAATTTGGCAGATAACAGAACATTCTAGAAATAGAAAATGTATCTCTCATGTTTACATTTGCAGTGAAACATTGTGTTAAATCAGGTTCCAGGATGTGGAACCCCTAAGACAGAATTCCTTTCTGTACCAGTAAGCTTTAGTATTAGGGAAAATGAAAAATAAAAGGATGGTTTAAGCATTTGGCATAATTAATTTATTTCGGGGCTGCTGCCGTGGAGTCAGCTGGTTGATTTTCACCTTGACCAGTCGTGTTTTCCCGGCCGCTCCTGTTTCCTACGAACTGATTATTCTGAAACTCACTACAAGAGATGCGCACCGATATTCTTTTTTTACTTATTACTTATTAGTAGCATTAATGTTTTTGCGGTGACCACAGCGGCTTTCTCCTGGCGCCCTGGGTTGGTGTGGAGGGCGATGAGGGCACACGAGGGGCCATGAGGGGAGCGCCGCTCCCGCCCCGCCCGCTCCATCCGGGTCTCTGGGCGCGGCCGTTGCGAGCGTTCAAACCCCGCGGCAGCCAATCAGCTCAGAGCGTGCCCCTCCCAGCAGCCAATCAGCGCAGAGTTCGTCCACCCCCGCCCACTCAGCAACCTGCGCTCGGTACCGCAACAAGCGCTGTGCGTCTGCCAGGGAAACATCTCACAGCCAATGGGAGGGCGCTCTGTCTGAGTGGCAGGTGCAGCGACGAATCGGAGAGGGCCAAGGGCGCAGGGCTGCCGAAAAGGAAGGCTAAGTGGGCGGGGCATCTCGCGACCGTGGCGAATGAGGGTGCGGCTTACAGAGGGGCGGTGGGGTCGGCAGCCAATGGGCGGCGGTGTGAGTGCGGCGGCTCGCTTTTTGAATTGGCGGCGGCCGCTGATGGCGGATGGCGGCGGGCGGCCCGGAGCGGTGAGGGGGCACCGGGGCCGTGAGGCGCGGGCTGCCCGGAGCGGGGCCGGTGTGTCGGGCACCTGTGGGGCACTCGGGCCTCCTCCGGGGCTCCTCAGGTCGCCGGCCGTGCTCCTTGGGCAGGGCGGAGCCCCGGGCCCGGCGGCACCTGCTGGCTCGTGAGGAGAGAGGCGGCGGCGGTCCCTCGTCCTGTCCAGTCCTGCCCCGGCCACCTCCTGCCGAGGGCTCGGGAGCCTTCCTGGGTGGTTCCTCGGGAGGGACATGGGAGGCGTGGGAGGTGTTAATGCCCTTTCCTTGCTGTTACAAACCTGTTTTGGTTTGTGGGTGGTTTGTGTCCTTCAGGCTTTCCACAAATTATTGGGAGGTCGCTTGTGAGTGTGATGCTGTGGGGGCATTAGCTCTGCCTGCAGCCTGTAGTGAGGGTGTTCTGACTTTTACTCTTTATGTGAGGGAAAACTGTTGTGTTCGTGTGTGCTGTTTGTTTTCCTCTGTATCCTGGCACTATCAGTCCGTGAGTTTAGTAACAAATATTGCTATTATTAAAACAAGGAATATTTTTAAATACACCCAGAAATAAATAAATTGGGAAAATCCATAAAGATAACCAATGCCCAGACTAAAGTCTGGGCTTCTTCAAAATGAAGTTCTCTGCAAGTTCATGTACATTTTACTTGGCATAATAAAAACTGTACTGATGTCTCAGACTAATAGGAAATAATCTCTAGGATTTAAGTTTAGTTGTGCCTCCAGCTGGAGGGCTTGTTTTCCTCCAAATTTACATTGTAATTGTCCTTGTGGTAATCATTATTAACAATATGGTTTGAATCTGCCAAGATTCTACTTTCCTCCACCACTGCAAAAAAAAAAAAATTGGTAACTGTGTTACAGTTCCTGGTGGTGACATTGTAACATTGTGGCCAGGGCATTCCCCAAAGACTCTTATGATTGAGGTTACTCTCTCCTCTTGCTCTGAGAAAAATGAGGTGGGTGGCTGGGACACAGGTCTAGGAAACTCAGCTGCATGGACATGCACAGCTCTGTGTGACCTGGAAATTGAAACTAAGGCGGCAAGTCTGCTGGCTGAATAAGTCTAGAATAGTGATAGATTTGTAGTGTTGATTATTGCTCATCACTGTGTTAGGAACTTGTGTATTATGAAGATTTGAGTCCTTTCCACGAGTCCCAGATGTGATCTCTGGAAGGTAAAGTATTTTCTGTATTGCTGGTATGCCAAAGTGCCCATTGCTTTTTGTCTTCTGACTTACTTTGCTGTGTAATGGGATGGTCATTACACAATTTGAAAAATAGTATGTGCTGTTCTCCAGGGGTTTTACTGCCTCAAGAGTCCTCTTCAGACAATGCTCCAGTGCATTATTTGAGTAGCTGCTGTTTTCAAAGGGCATTTACAGTCACAAGAACAATTTCAGTTCAAGTGCTACCAAGGATTATTATCCAGCTGCAGTTGCTGCTCTGGGTAACTCCTGATCTCACTGTGCAAACAGTGAAAGCTGGGTGTGTGATGAATCACAGGAGCTGCACCCTGCCTGCCTCGTGTGTGACAGAGAGGGGGCTGTGTGATGGGCACGTGTCTGAACAATCTTTGTGCTGCAGGATTGGGGTAGGTAGCTCCCAGGAAATGAGGGGGTTAAGGATTCTGCCTTTCCAGTAGGTGACAAGGCTGCTGGGCAGGGAGAGCACAGATCCATTGTGTTTGAGAGCAGAGAAGGCCTCTTTATCTGATGATGAAAAGCTACTTTTACTCCATTATAGTTAATGCATGACAGTAGACCAGACCATACAGCTAGACATATCAACTTTGCAGAGACTCTGAAGCTTTTTAAATTTTTCTAAGAGTAAACAGTCCTGGCTCTACTCTAGGTGCTCATTTCTAACCACAGTATCTCTAGCCAGTTCACCTGAAAAGCCAGATTTTAGCAAGATGTTATGCTTACCCTAATTCTTCTGCTAATGTTTCAAATCAATAATGCTAATTTTAGTCTCAGCTGTAGCTTATAATAGTTTGTCACTGAAAGAAACAAGTGCTTTTAGTTTGGTGCTCCGTGGTTAAGCTTTTTTAAATGAGCCCTTGAGTTTGTGCTTGCCTGTGCTCAGAGCTGAACTTCCCTCTGTGCAGGTGAATTGCAGAAGCATTTCTGTAACAGCTTTGTTGTCAGTCTTTTCTATCAGTTATGTTACTCTTGATGCTCTATCAGTGTGAGTGGGAGTTCAGTAAGAGCCCAAATGTTTTGTTTTCTGAAGTCCCTTCTGACTGCCTTGGTCATAGGACTGTTATGAATGAGCTTTTTGCACCTGTAACTGAGCTTGGCCCCTCCACCTTCCAGCTGTTGAAGAAAGAAAAAACACATAATCATGGCTGACAGCAGTACTCTGGTGTCTGAAACTGGGAGGAGCCTCTTGGCTGATTCTTCTGTTCTTGATTCAAAAATTATAGAAACCTCCAAAGAGAATGTATTCCGTGCAACTGTTCTGGATGTTGAAGGTAATGGGAGAAGTTTATTTTAAGACTGCTTGGTTTTTGCAATGACTGATTACTTTGTTGCTATTTAGTAGTTTTGAAAAAACAAAACCACTTTGAACTCCAGAATGTACATAGAGTAGGGAAAAGGGTGTTGATCTAGAATACTTTCATTAAGAAAATCTGGTGTTACAGCCCAAATTGAATGAATTTTCTGGCTCTTGAACAGAAAGCTGTCAGTTCTACAGAAGTTGCCTCTTCTGTGGAATAAATCACTCCAGGTGACATTTTGACACCAGTGTTTGGAAACTACAGCTGCTCTGTTGTGGATAAATTAATAGGTCTAAGGTAGAGAGGTGGAGAGATTAATAGTCTTAAGCCCAAAATTAATTCAAGAACAAATCCTGAAATTAAAAAACAACCACCAATGTTTTCCTCCAAGGTATTAGCCAAAATCTGCTGGTGGTCTGTTGATGTAAATGACATGGAGGCAATGCTTATTCTTCCTCCTAATATTTTGAAGGCTTATTAATACATGAAAAAAAGAACAAGGCATCTAGTTTCAGTTCTGATATTGCTGGTAACTGCTCAATTACCAAGAAAGTAATGACCCCTGTCAGCCAGGAAGACAGAAACTATAAAAGATACCAGCTGTCTATTTTCCAGTAGATCTTGATATCTAATTCTGCTAGAAGCATTAAGCCTGTAATTTTTTTGGGTTTTCATTTGCTTGTTGTCTTTCCTCCTCCCTACCCCTTGATTTACGTTTTTGCTTTGACTGATCATGAATTGCAGATTTTTGTTTCACCTCATACTAGAAAGTTTGGGCTCCAAGTCAGTTTGGTATGCCTTATTTAAAGGACACTCTTCTTAAAGTAACATTTAGTTTCAGGATTGCTCCTGATAAGGAATCTTGAAAGGCTACTGTCTACCTGTATTCTTCTATACATTATTGCTTGATTTAGACATAACATAGATTTTTCTGCTAAAATACAAATATTATCCTTGCTTCTCTCTGAGCAGAAGAAATGCCTCAAATAGAAACAAGAGTGGTTTTGGTTCAGGAAGCAGGGAAACATGAGGAGCTTCTGAAAGCCTTGGAGGTATGTGGGCCTGAGATAAAACAGTCTCTGGAAGGACATGTTATGCCTTCAGACTTGTAGTAACCAATTTGCTTCTGTACTAAAGTTCTCCTCTTCCACAGACTATTAAGATAATGGAAGTACCTGTTATAAAGATAAAGGAAAGTAGCCCTGATAAATCAGAAGAAAAACTAATAAAAAGTATTATTCATATGGTATGTCATGCAATTCAGCACATGTAATTGCATGCAGCATGTTACACTTCACTGGGACTGAAATGTGCACACGCTTTAATTTGGATTAATTGGGCATAATGGTCATAATATATGCTAATGGTTCTGATGGTGTCACAGCTCATCAAAATCAGCACTTTTTAAAAATATGAGTAATACTTGTAGCTCTTATCTAGTGGTGTTTTCTAACAGGGGCATCAAAATATCCATGGGGACATCCAGCTGCATGCTTGTGTTCAGTCACACAAGTTTGTGCTATGAACTGGCTTTGTAATTGTCAGTGGACTTCTCTTTCAATTGAAAGCTGCATTCAAGCTGAAGTGCAAGAAATGCTTTTCCATTTCTTGATGTGAAAGGCATAAGAGATAAAGTTTGGAACTGATGTTTGAAATGGGAATGGATGAAATTTTTTAACCCCTTAAAAATATCAAGCAATGAACAAAATCTATTTCCATTCTGTAGATGCTCTGCAATGTGGATCTTGCTGTTGCAAACTGGATACTACTTTTTAGTAGCATCCCAAAGTACCCTAAGCTGTTCTGACAGTCTGCAATTTCATTTATCTTTTGAGCTTAGGGTGTTTTTTCTATCTAGCTCCTTCCAGTGCTACATTATCAGTGTGAACTGATACATAAACTGCTTAAGCAACCAGAATTCTGATTCTTCAAAAGCAGGAATTACTTTGACATTGGGTCTTCAAGCATGCAGTTCATAGCCATTCTTGTACTAGAGAACAATGCATTGCATTCAGCTTTCACAAATCCTAACTCTGTCTCTGAAATATGACTCACACAGTCTTCTAATGGTCCAAAATAAACATCAGTTGAATTTTACACTTGTGCAAGTATGTTACCTGAGTAATGCTTTCCCTTTCACCCCTGTGCATCAAGGAAATTAAAACGCCCTACATAAAGACAGACACAATAGAAGAACTTGGAGATTCTGATTCCCCAGAATTCGAGACAATCTTCGTTGTGTCAGACTTCCAAGCTCCCATCTTTAGCAACCTCTGCAGGGCAGACTGCCGAGTCATCGGGCCGCCGGTGGTGCTGCACTGCGCGCAGAAAGGAGAGGTGTGTGCTTCCTGCTGGAACCAGATGAGTAGCTCCCCTCTGCACTGAGTTCTAAGAGTTCACAGTAAAATCTCTCTTGTTCTTCCAATCAGTTATAAAGATTCCTAGCAAGAGAATTTTGAGACAAGTTTCTGATGCTGCGTTAGAATATTGCACATAGGGAGAGAGTGCAGGCAGACAGGGCTATGGCTACAACTGCTGCTGTAGTTGTGGGAGTTGTTGATCACAATCCCAGCTGGGATTGTGCCATTGGGAAAGGCAGCACACAAATGATTCTCTGGTAATCACTTTATATTTCCAAAGTTGTAATATAGAGCAAATGGATTGGGGAGGAAATAAAAAGGATGGAGTGCTACCTGTAGAACTTGGGGATGCTCTAGTATCAGCAGGCCTGGAGCTAAGGTATAAGTGAATACACAGACCTGAACTAGTGTCTGATGCATTTTTAATAGTAGAAATAACAGTAATGTATTAAAGGTAATGTGAAAACTTTAATGAGTGCAGTATACTGTTGACTCATGAACTTTCCTCTTGTTTTCAGCCTTTACCTTTCTCCTGCCGTCCACTGTACTGTGCAAGTATGTTGAACTTGGTACTGTGCTTTACAGGATTCAGAAAGAAAGATGAATTAGTAAGTAATGTATTCTTTTTTGGATTGGTAAAACCATGTTAAGTATATTTTCAAGATACTCTTCTGTTCCATCACCCATAGGGCTTAACCATGGCTCATGCTTGTATTGGGAGAATAAATTGTTCTTTTGGTTTTTTGCAAGTCCAGAGGCAGAGATATTTGAGGATGGGAACAAAACTTTGTTCAATTCATTTTACCTGTGTCAGTTTTGGTCACTTTGTCGAGTGACATTAAACTGCTCTAATTCAAGGAACAAAACTTTGTTCAATTCATTTTACCTGTGTCAGTTTTGGTCACTTTTTGTCGAGTGACATTAAGCTGCTCTAATTCAGTAGGGCTTAAAGGTTTGTAAGTTGAGGCTTCAGATAAGATGATGTTTACCCAGTAGTGTCCTCCTTTTTGTACAGGTAGTAGAATAAGCAAGTAAATCTTTGTAGCTCTGTTCAGAGCATTTGCAGGCATGTTATCTTGTTATGATATTGTGCTATCAGGACTTTGCTTTTTGTTTGATACCCTAGCACTTTGCTTTTCCATTTCAGTAGGCAGTTACCATCTAATTTCCCTACTATACACATGGGAATCAACAAATGGCTCCACATCTTCATCTGAAAAAAAAACTATCAGGACTTTGCTTTTTGTTTGATACCCTAGCACTTTGCTTTTCCATTTCAGTAGGCAGTTACCATCTAATTTCCCTACTATACACATGGGAATCAATGGCTCCACATTTTCATCTGAAAAAAAACCAAAGCAAAACCAAAAGCCTTTGCATGGTGTTGGGGTTAGTTAGGTTTGATCTAGAATTGACTAAATCAGCAAGGAAAAGGTCAAATCTAACATGTATGAAAAGGTGAAGGCGTTTTGTATGATGATCATGAGAGTACTGGTGGCTTGGATACAAGCATACAGTCTTCAGGCTACACAGCAAGGCTGTATTAAATGTTGAAATAAAAATAAATCTTAATAGCTCTTTTGATGTATAAGCTATATCTTCTGTCAATGTGAACAAGTTGTTTTAAGAACAGATCAGAGCATTTCTATTTCTAGGCATTTAATGTAACCTTCTGTAACTTGCTTTTTAAGTGGTAAATACAACTTTTGTACTGAACTCGCTCTTCAAAAGATACTGAAAACTTTTCATCTTCATTTTTCAGGTTAAGCTTGTGACCTTGGTTCATCACATGGGTGGAATTATTAGAAGGGACTTTAGCTCAAAAGTTACTCATCTGGTGGCAAACTCAACACATGGAGACAAATTCAGAGTATGTAAGCTTGAGTTGGTGTTCCATAGAAACCCTTGGAATTTGGCTTTTTGACTGTTAGTTCATTATACTTCAGCTCAGAAGCTGCTGTTTTTTCCTGTACTAACAGCAATAACTTGTAATGGTGAATTCATCTCCGTCTGGTGTTCAGCTTTGGCATGTTTTTGTCTCTCTGGGAGATCTGAATAAGATAAATTTGAAACAGACAAGTATAGTGAATAACAAAGTTCAAAATGGTTAAATATTGGTGCTACCAGTAGTAAAGGCAGTGATGAACAAATGCCTGCTTTTGTCTGTCCAAACAATAAACTTTGAGGTAACTTCTAAAGAACTTCATTCCTTAATTGGTGCATGTCTTCTAAAAATTATTTTTAACTTGCTATGGGTGAGGATTCAAATATTCATTTATGCATAAATAGACATGAGTGTGCTTTTGCTTTTCTGATTCTAAAAGGGAGTAATTTGGAACATTTATGTTCAGTTTAGAAGTAAATAACAGATGATAGGTTTTTGTACTATTTAATATGACGTAGCAATGACTACGTCATATTAAACATTTTGACTCTCCCTGGTTTGAATTGTTGGTAGGATATTGCTTTTTTTTCCCTTGTTTGTCTTTATAATCTTGCAGTTGGAAAAGTCCTACTTTCTGTTCAAACACTCCTTTCTGCCAACTCAAAGGAGAAAATGTAGATAAACTGTACAATCTCTCAAGCAGTCATGGCAGTTACCTTTCAAATAGTAACTTTCTCTTTGATAAAAGCAGGATGGGGTATTTTTCTTCATACAAAGTATCAAAAGCAGAATAAAGATCCCATATTACACTGGAACAGAGATTTGATTTTGTGTTTTTGTGAGTGATGAAGGATATCAGACTAACAAAATGGTGCACTTTTGAGGAAATGTCAAAATAGCTATTGATCTGATTTCCTAGTCACTGAATTCATACATTCTAACTGGGGAGTTGCAGTTGGATATGAATTTTGAAGAAATATGTGCACTTTTTGCAGAATCTGTCTTGAAAAGTAAAAGGAAGATGACAATTTTTCTTGATCTGGGAAAGATTTAAATGGAAATATTTGGTACAACTTATGCTTTTCCTGTTTTGTAGATTGCTGTAAGTCTTGGTGTTCCTATCGTGAAAGCTGAGTGGATTTATAAGGCATGGGAGAAAAGGAATGAAATGTAGGTTTTTATTTTCCTTCAGCCTTCACTTTGCATCTTGTTCACCTGAAATGTGAGCTTCTGCTTAAATATTAACATAAGTCACTTAAGTGACATTTTTGTGCATCTTCTTTCTTTCAGTGATTTCTGTGCAGCTGATGATGACTTTAGAAACCAGTTCAAGGTTCCTCCCTTTCAGGACTGCATGTTAAGTTTCCTGGGATTCTCTGATGATGAGAAGGCTAACATGGAAGAAATGACAGAAATGCAAGGTGATGGTTTATGAAAACCTGTGGGAAGAATAGGGTGCAGTTTATAATGATAGATGCCTCAGAACTGTTAAGTGAGATACCAATTTCCTACAAGAATATTATTTCCTGATTATTTGCCTCTTTTTTTTTATCTAGGAGGACATTATTTACCAGTTGGTGATGAAAGGTGTACGCACTTGGTGGTTGAAGAAAGTACAGTAAAAGATCTTCCATTTGAACCTTTAAAAAAACTTTATGTTGTAAAGCAAGAGGTTAGTGCTGAAAATTCTTTAGGGAATGCTGCTATGTAGAACTGTGCCTTCTTATTCTGAAAAAAATCTTCCATGCTAATTGTGTAACTATTATAGATTATTTTGAATATTTTTAACTTTGGGTGAATCTCTAATGTGTTTATAAAGTTTGTTTTCTTTTTTCCTTTAGTGGTTTTGGGGAAGCATTCAAATGGATGCCAGAGCTGGAGAGTCCATGTATTTATTTGAGAAGGTATGTTGAACACTCACACAATGCAATTTTGGTGGTTAAATTAGCATGCAACATAGTGTGTGTGGTGCCAGAGATCAGATGTTTTAAAAGCAGCATTTAAGTTCCAGGTAATCCATTATAAATTTTATACATCGAGTACTAATTTGGAATAGAAACTTTTTTTTCTGCTTCCTAAAGGTTTTACTACCCACCACTGTCATTTTTATTTTAGAAAGGCAAAAAAAAAAAGCTTCACCAATTTTGCCTTGGCTTCCCTAAGAAGTTTTCCTTTGTGTTGATCTGTGATTAACCAATCTCTGCACTGAGTTGAACTGGACACAGAGGATAAAGCCCTGAATGAAGTTTTCTCTCCCTGCAGTCGGAGAGTCCTGACTTCAAGAAGTCGGTGTCGCTGCTTTCCCTGAGCACGCCCAACAGCAACCGCAAACGGCGCCGCTTGAAAGAGACTCTGGCCCAGCTGACCAGGGAAACAGACATGTCCCCGTTCCCTCCTCGGAAACGGCCCTCAGCTGAACATTCCCTCTCTATTGGCTCCTTGCTGGATATTTCCAACACTCCAGAGTCGAGCACTGCCAATGGAGGTAGAGCTAAAGCCTTCCATTCAGCCATACTTAGTGTTTAACAGCTCGTGCATGCAAGTGGAAATGGTGGTGGTAGGGAAATCTTATGGGTTCTGCTACAGATTTGCAGTGTAATTCCAGGCTTTTCCCTTTTCAAAGTGTGGAGGAAAAAGTTGGAGTGAAGAGTTCAGACACAGGCCAAGCTGCCTGTTGTCATCACAGTAAGCGTGTTCATATCTGAAGGAATAGATATAGAGGTGATAAATAGGGAGTACAGTTGAGTGTTACTCCAAAGTGCTTCAAATACTCTGCTGGAAATCTGTAGCAAATTAGCAGCATAGTCAACAGTAAATCATCTAAAAAGCTCTCCATAGGATACTTGGAGGAAAGAGGACAAAGATTCTTTTCTAGAGGAGTTAAAGGGAGAGTTCCTGCAGGGCCCACTCCTAGGTCTTTGAAATGTTCTGTTGAGGCAACACTGTTTGTGCCAGCCAACTGTCATGTCTAAAACTTCACAAGAATATAAATCAACAATTTGTTTTGAGTGAATGGACAGAGTTTTAAATATCTCTGCACATGGCTCCTGTGAAGAGAGGAACTGCAAAATTTTGGGCTAGTTAAAAGCTGATACCCCAAGTGTTTTTTAAAATGTCTGGTTCCATCATAGAGGAGGTATTGGAGCTGCTACTGCTTTAAAAAGGCAAACTCAGATCACATAAGAGCTCCCAATGAGGCACAACAATTATCATGTAAGTGATAATTCAGAAGGAATTCAGGGAAGATCAGCCTGCTTAGGTGATGCTAATGCTCTGGTTACCCCTGGTAGGGAATTTTATTCTAATCCAACAGCAGCAGTCAGCCTCAGAACTTGCTATTTTGGAAACAACAGGTACTTATTTCATTGACAACTATGGCAGTAATGAGCTTTGATATCAAAAAAGACAGTATAGGTCTCTGAGATCCAATACATGAGCAAATATTTAAAACTCATGGACTGTTCCAGGTCCACCTTGGCTTTAGCTTTAAGAGAAATGACTTTCTTGAGCTTTCCCCTTCCCCCTGTAGGATGAAATGTAAGAGTTTTGTGCAAGGGCTGATTTTAGTAAATGGTTTTGAGCTACACACTTAATGCAAGCATGGCAGGCAGCTGAGAGATAATTGTTTACATAGCAAAATGGAAGTAGAAAAGCACTTTTGTACTAGTGTATAAATAAGTAATGTTCAGCACCTAATCCTTGCTTCCTGCTAAATAAGGAACTAATAATAGGGTCAAGTCATTGACCTGCCCATAAATGGCTTATTAGTTTCAGTCTAATTTTGAGGAATAATGTATTACTATTGTTCTATAAGTAGGCTTTAATAGAGAGCTATTTTCTTGAAAGAGCCCTGATAACTCTAGAATGTAGCCTTTAAAAAAAAAACCCAAACTTATCTTCACTTAAAAATTCTGAAGTTTTTTTTTTGTCTTTGAGGGTGAGCTTTTTTTAGGGACTCTATTATAATAAAGCTCTATTTTCTTTTGGTAATATCTCTTTATCAGAAACACCAAAATCCTGTGCAAGACCTTCCAAAAACTCCACTCCTCTTCCTCTCAAGCAGTCTGCAAGATGGCAAGTTGCAAAGGAATTGTATCAGACAGAAAGTAACTATGTTGATATTTTGACAACAATTATTCAGGTAAGATGATTTTAAAGCTGGTCCAGGTCAAATGTAATAAGATATCCAATGTTTACATTAATTAATATTTTCAATCTGTGATCTACAATCTTTTGAGGGCTTGGGTGCATCCAAGCTGCATAGGAAGATGACAATATAAACAGGCTCATGTAGTTTTACTGACATATAAAAATACTCAGTTTCAGGCTGGAAAATACAATTTCTAATCTGGGATCTGCAGTGGTGTTGCAATATATATGGAAATTGGAAGTGTCAGGAAAATAGGAACTTCTTGACTAAAGAGAGATGGCAGAGGGGAAAAATATTTTTAAAAGAAATTATTTCAAGAAGAGCAGAATAGCAGACAACTTACAGGAAGAGCTTAATTTCTTGAAAGTTTATTTCTATTGCAGCTGATTATCTACTTAAAAATGAGCAAAGATGTGTGAGTAAAAAGAGATGAGAGGAGGTTATGCTGTAGAGATGCATCAAACTAAGTGTTTGTCTCTTCAAACCACTCTCCAAAACCCACTCTTGCTGAATGGAGACATCTCAAGATTGTGACTGCAGGAAGTTATGATCTAGAAGGAAAACACTGTTGCTTTCATAGCTATTCCTAACACAATGTTGGCAGCTGGGAGGGCATTAACTTTTTTTTCTCTTAATTCATCAGTTGTTTCAAGTTCCATTGGAGAAGGAAGGACAACTTGGGGGACCAATCCTTGCACAGGAAGAGATCAAGACCATATTTGGCAGCATTCCAGATATTCTTGATGTGCACACTAAAATTAAGGCAAGCTGCACCTTCTCCCCTGCAGGGGAAGCTTTCATAGAGACTTTGAATCTTTTTTGCATGTTTTCAGTTGTGTCTGCTGGATAGGTATAAACTCTTCTGGTGCTGACACACACTCTTTCAAATGGTGGCATTTGCCTATTCCTGGCAGCACTTCTCTGCAGGCTTTTAAATAGAGACTTGCAGGCTACCTGCAACTTGGTGATTTGTTTGTACAGGTTTTGTTGGTTTTTTCCAACCAGTGGGGTCTAGTCTGGTTAATCACACCAGCTATTGATGTGTGCCCACTGAGACAGAGATGAAAGTAGAGCTGCATGTCCGTGGGTCAAATTGGAGTCACCTGCAGCAGAGAGTTGCTTTGATGTAGTTGTTGTGTTTTCCTTCATTTTTGGTGTTATCAAGATATGAGCAGTGGCAGCAACAAACCAATATTAGTGATAAATCCTTTTCACTGAAGGTGAATCCTGAACCTTCAGCTGTGCCCTCCTGTCCCTCTGATTATCTGATGGTGATTGAGCTTGATCCTTATCAAGCTTATATAGGCTTAACAGGTTTGGTCTCACTTTCCTTGACACCCTGGTGTAGCAAGTAAGTGGAATCTAGCCTAGTTCTATTTCAATCCTGTCTTATAGACTTAAGTCCTAGATAAGTTGTGCAGTCTTAATTAGAATTGGTTCAACTGTCTTCTCTGTATCCTTTCTCAGTATTCCTTTGGGACGTGTTGTGTATTGTGCTGGATGCAGCACTGTCGTCTTGCTGCAGAGTTGGCTAGTCCTGACATGCTGCCAAGCTGTACTTGCAATGATTTACAGCTATATATACATATTCAGTAAGCCAGAGTTCTCTTGTTTCCAGCCCTCAGTAGACTGGAGGGGCTAAATGTGAGATTGTACAGCTTTTAGGATTGCCGTTTTGTCAGCACGAAAACACACCTAATGATGTGTTTGGCAAAACAGTGATCCCATTTAATGGCTTTATGCACTTTATGCTCAGCTTGTTTTCTCCCCCCAATCCCTGCATATATTCTAGGAAGACCTGGAAGATCTTATGATAAACTGGACTGAAAGCAAAAGTATTGGTGATATCATTCTCAAATACGTAAGTTCCTGTTTCTTTCTTTATGCTTGCAACTATTATCTTGCCTTATGAACACTCCACTTCTAGGGGCTAGCAAACACAACCAAAGCACTGCTGAGAAAGAGCTCCAACTTTCATCATTGTCTTTTTTTATTTAGACTTTTCAGTTGAGTTAGGTGATAGAATCCATGTCAAGTTTTAGTGTGTATGTCTGTTCACAGGTATGAAGGATTATAACTAAAATACCTACAGTTTGAAAACTGTAATTTGCAATGTTACAGACACGCTTTTTACTCAGACATTAAAAGCCACTTCCCAGGCCCTTAGCCATCTGCTGCCTCTGATCAATAGTAAAGAACTAAGAAAATAACTTATCTTTCTTCAAGACTTGAAACATGTAAGTGAATAAGGAGTTCTGTGTAGAACAGAAAGGCTAAGTCTGAGACTGCAAAGTATTTTAACATAAATCGGCTGCTAGGTATCTTGTGATTATTTTGATCTGATGATTTTGAGAAAAATAGTGCTTGTCATTCAAAAGTTTTCAGTCTAAGGTATTGCTTTTGGTGGTTTAAAAGGTGATTGCAGTAACTGGTGAAAGTACCTGTCTGAAATTTCCAAAATTCTCACCAAAAGCCTCTTGCTAGGTGACAACCTGCCTCCCACTCGAGCTGCTCAGCAGCTTCTAACATTGTCGTGTTTGCTTGATGCTGGTGAGAGCAGCCTGCGTTTAATCAGCAGCATCAATCTGGGGCATTTGGCATGCAAAAATGTCTTAACTTGTTCTGAGAACACGTATGGGCTTACAACACATTTTTTATTATTCTTTATTGCAATGTGCCTTTGAGCAGCTTTGTATGGCTCAGGGCATATGAACATATGTACAAGGATACATAATATGTAAAGCAGAGCCCTAACAGTTGTTTCTTTCAGTCAAAAGACTTGTTGAAAACATACCCTCCGTTTGTGAATTTCTTTGAAATGAGCAAGGAGACAATTACAAGATGTGAAAAGCAGAAACCAAGGTTTCATGCCTTCCTAAAGGTAAGTGTCTGCAGAACTAACTCTATGAGTGGAACATGGGGGCTGTTACCATGTTCTACTGAATGCAGTAGATGGAGGAATGTGAAATTTTGAAAGCTTAAAGAAAAGCAAACACCTCTTGGTGAGACAGAAATAGGAAGGATTTGAACTTCAATCCCTCAAGCTCCTCATAAGACTCTTTCAGAAAAAGTCTGAGTCCCTTCTCTGTTAAACAGCTTTCAAGGTGGTTTGATTATATGCATTTGTTGCTGGAAAAAAGTTTCTCCCAAATACATGTCTTCTGTTTTCTGTAAAGATAACTGGAGCTGCTGCTTTGACTGGTCCTCTCCCTGTGAGTCTTGTATTTCTGAAACAGCTTTTAACTTTCCTTGGGCAGCTGTGAAGCTCCAGGGAGGTAGAATTTCTCAGCATTCTTGTGACTAATGAATAGGAGCCTAACAGTGGAGATCTAACAGGAAGATGATCTTCAAAGAAAGTTATCTGAAGATAAGCCTTAAGATTCTTGATCTCTTCAGATATGTGTGTACTGTTAATAGTGCAGTGTAGCTTTAATTTCTATAGCTAAATAGTCAAGTGTCAAACACTGACAGTTTCAGCTCATGTTTTTTGAGGGACTAGGAATTATATCCAAGTATTGTATCTAAAAGATGGGGAACAAATAAGAGAACAGGCCATCCCCAGTCCCACTCCACATTAGCAGCTGGAACAAGAGCTGAAGGACCCTCTAAAATTAGACATTCTGAGAATGTAAATCACTGTGTACTTTTGAATAGAATGTGGTTTTTAATATGCTCTGTTAATGACTGTGGTAAACAATTCTCACACTTGTATAGCAATGCTAATTTCAAGGAAGGGAATTTTTCTCTGATCTTGTGCTTTTCTTGTGTATGTGTGTTAAAAAAAAAAAAAAGTAAACATTATTTCCTTTTCCCCAGATAAATCAAGCTAAACCTGAATGTGGCCGCCAAAGCCTCGCTGAGCTCCTTATCCGTCCTGTTCAAAGGCTGCCCAGTGTTGCCCTGCTACTAAATGGTAACCTAGTGATGTAATTTTGTTAGTTTTTCTGTGAAGGTGTTAAAACCACAAGATGATGTCTGCCTTTTGTCATCATTAGAAACAGCTTTTCTTATCTAAAACAAGCCTGATTATGTGAGTTAACCATGATTCCTGGCAGTCAGTAAGGCCCACTACTGAAGAAAGCATAAATTCTGTCTAAATTCCACTTGTTCATACATTTGTATGCAGGATACAGATAGAGGAACAGTTTGCACTGACAATTCTGTCTCTTCAAACAAGAATATAATTGAGATTCAAATGAAACTAACATAAACTGGAGAGCAATTCATATTGACAAGGCTCACAGTTTCATGTGTTCCACCTGGTATCAACTGCTTGCTATAATAATGCTTTTGTTAATAAAGATAATAAAAAATCCACATCAACCTTTGCTTCAGGTGGAAAAAGACTTCTGTGCTTGTCTCTGCACCTCAATTTAATTTTTTTAATAGTTTGAGGGCTTGGTTTCTGTATTGTGTGTGAGGTTTTTTTCTTAATGAGATGTCTGGACAGCTTCTGTTCAGCCTAGTTCCCCACTTAATCAGTGCTAGTTGGACTCCAGGGTAGATCTGATGTCTTCAGTCAGCTTGTCTTAACTCAGTCTAAATTTGAGTTTGTTTCTTATCAGATACTTGTAATATGCGTGGAGTTTTTATTTCTTTAATTTTTTTTAAATTGTAGATATTAAGAAGCATACAGCAGAAGAGAACCCAGATAAAATAACTCTAGAGAGAGCTATTGAATCATTAAAGGAGGTGATGACGTAAGTCATGTTGATTCTATGGAACATACTGTTAACCATACTGCAGTTAGATCCCTCTGTTCCTCCTGAATTGTCAGTGTTATGTTGCCACAAGGAACAGTAAGTAAACATAACTGTAGGTGTTCTTCAGCCTCCTTTTGGCTGCTGTTGTCACTTTGCTGTTCTGTGCCAGAGCTCTGAAGGAGTCTGTGACATTCCCCAGCACATGTACCTGAACCTCTGCTGACCCCTGCCTCAGCAGGGGCTGTCCCCAGTCCTCTGTTCTGTTCCAGCTCTTATTTCTATCTTTTCCCTCTGGAATGGAAGAGCTGGGTTTTTGTCTTTAAATCTTACTTCTATGCATTATATCTAATGAAAGGACAGACTTTTGGTGGGAGACTAGTTTTTCTTCTGGTCTTGTATTAGCTCTTCTTGGCACTGTTCCATGAGTTAATTAGCTGAAAGCTGAAGTTGTTTAGATTGCAAGTCTCACCTCTTTTGAAGTGTAGCGTATGTCTCCAGCAACAAGAACTCCTGCATTAATTGGGCAAATGTTTGTCCAGTTTTAACAACAACTTTTAAATTGTAATTATTCTTGGATCTGCTGCTTGGTGAGCTGCAGTCCTGATTTGGGGGAGACAAAATGCAGGCTGTAAAGAACTGAATTGTGAGTGTCTGGTTCAAAATCTTGCAGGGTAGGGGTGGGGAATTCTGTTTTAACTGATTGGTGTGTCAAGTGCTGGTAATGTGACAAGAGTAGTGTTCTAGAGCTGAAGTTTCCTATGTGATTTCATGTGGTATTTGGTTATTTCTTCAAATGTGACAAGTGCTGCTGTGTAAATTCTATCCCTGAATGTTTAGCTTTATTATTTTTGTATGTCTTAAATGCAGAGCATCCATTTACTGCTGCTTGGTATTGAAGGTTAATATAATGTGCTTTCCTTAGACACATTAATGAAGACAAAAGAAAAACAGAGGCACAAAGGCAGTTCTTTGACGTTGTCTATGAAGTGGATGGATGTCCAGTAAGTAATTTCTCCAAAGCTGCAGATCTCTTAAATGACTGCAATACTTTGTTCCCTTTGCAAAAACGTGTGAGGCTGCAATGCAACGGTGCTGGTTTAAACAGATTGCCAGTGTTAAGCTGTAAGCAAGCAGTAATCCAGCCCTTGAACTAAATGCTTAATGAGCTTTTTGCTTTTGTCATTTAGGCCAATCTCCTGTCCTCCCACCGCAGCTTGGTGCAGCGTCTGGAAACTGTAGCACTTGGGGATGACCTCTGTGACAGGGGAGAGCAGGTCACACTCTTTCTGTTCAATGATTGCCTAGAGGTAAGGTGACTATACCAGCACATCTCATGAACTGCATTGTAAAAGGCTTGACACTACACATGAATATAAATAAGTAGAATTTAAGACCTTTTGAGGTAGAATTCTAAGTCACAGATTGCTGATAGGTCAACACATGCTGATGTTTCTTTTCCATTAACTACTGTATAAGCCTCTCATGGCTGAGAGGTGTTAATGTAGCCTTTTATGCCTTGAACCGGAGTTAAAACATAAAAGCAGTTTAATATGTTAAAAAATGTTCATCTGAGTAGCACTTTGAGTAGCACCAATGAATGAAAAGGCACTGGAGTTTTTGGCTCATCAGGTTGTTTGTCCTTTTAAAGTTTAGTTGTATATGATGGGAGTGAATAGTGGGCCTTGGTACATCTGTCTGTTCTTAGGCTACCAAAAAACCAAAATCGTAATAAATGCCTTAAACTCAAATTATGTTAGGAACAACTAGAGGGGAAGAATAATCTAACTGGGGTTTGGAGACTAATGTGGAAAAACTGAATTTATAAAGGACACTTTCATAAAGTACTTGTTGCTGTCTGCAGCAGTGAAGAACACTTGTCTTCATAGAAGACCACCTCTAAAGTAATTCAAAATTAGTGCTGTCCTAAGCAGCACTTAGAGACAAAATCCTGTTCTTGTGACTAGTGATAAACTCTTCCTGCTGAGTTGACTCAGTTTCATCACTTCTCATAAAGGAAGGAAAGGAAAATAAAACCACTTTTAATAAAGCTTCTTGGCTTGTCTCTTGGACAAGAGACAAACAACAAGATGCATTACTTTAACACACAAGTGCCTTACGTGTTTTTATGCAAAGCCTGCTCAATGGCTGCATGCATAAGCAACAGCAAGTGATATTTCTAGGACATAGCACCTTATGTAGGTTCATGCATATAGATGTTGTCTTTTCTGTTTAAATCTAGACTACCTTGTGGTAGATTTCAAAGGACCCTTGTTTGTTATGCAGGGTAGAATTGAGGTCTGTAATGCAAAATTACTTCCTCTCTAGGTATTGCTAAAAAATTTATTGTATTTTTCAGCTGAGTGTTTTGATACCAAGTAACAAATATTTCTTGCTGGGCCACTTGGTCTGTAGGCAGTGAATAGTGAGATAAATCTTAAAGGAATTCATTTATGTGGTAGAGTAGCAAGATTTTCTGTGCCTTTCTGGACAGTAAAAAGTAAAAAAAAAAAATAAAAATAAAAGGAAACAATGGCAAGAGCTCTTCCAACTGACCTTTTCTATTCTATTTAACTGCAGATTGCGAGGAAACGGCATAAAGTTATTGGAGCTTTCAAGAGTCCCCATGGCCACACGAGGCCTCCTGCATCTCTCAAGCATGTTGTTCTCATGCCTCTCTCCCAGATCAAGAAAGTCTTGGACATCAGGGAGACAGAAGGTCTGTGTGTTTTGAAGTGCTCTGGTTAATTAAACTGTGTTTCAGGGTGTGAAGGAGCAAGCTCTGCTATTGTGGGATGGAATGCTAAGGTGTATTTATTGTATGGTATGTTAGGTATGTGATTTTAGTATAAGCTTCTGTTTGAGTCTCTGTGTGAGCTTGAGAATTCCTTGTACTGATGCCCTTTTGGCTTTTTGAGAATTGCTGCAGGATGCTGAATTTGGCAGAACTGATGGCATTAGATGGCATTAGCATAAGCCAACCAGTTGGCAGTGTGAAATAAACAGAGTTAAACACTTGACAGTTCTGGATTTACAAAATTAAAATCAAACCTCAAACTTCAGCCCAGAGCATTAGACTGGCCAGAGAAAAGTGCTGTTGGTGTGAAACCAAATTTTCTTCTAACTGGTGATGATAATGGTCAGGAGAGCTTGGCATCTTAAAAGATGACTTAATTTCTCTGTCTGCTTTGCCATACTGCTCCAGCCTTGATAGTGACCTATAAAGAATCCAATCACACCAGTTTCTAGATTTCTATCCTGGCAAGATTTGGTGTTTCACTGTAAGTGAGGATATGCACATCATGTGTTCTGCTTTATGTACTTGAAGCACCTGAACATAGGAACGCAATTAACAAGAGAAATGGCAAAGAGGGTAGGTGAGGCTGACTGCTCAGCAGATTATTTGGTTGTTCAGCTATTGCTTGAACAGCTGATTGTAGCCTCTTGATGATGGCTGTGGACAGAACTCTGCTCTTGCAAGTGATACAAGAGCTAGTGCATAAATAAAGACCAAATCATCACACCCAAATCATGTTGTCTGTGCTCCAGCTCCTGGCAGACAGAGGGTTGACCCTTCTGAAGTTTTCCCCCTGAATTATATGAAAAAATCATTATCCTTTTTATGAACTCCTCGCTTTTTTTTTTTTTTTCAACAAAATGTAGATTGCCAAAAAGCTTTTGCCTTAGTTGTGAGGCCACCAACAGAACTCAACAACAAGCTGCTCAGTTTCCAGATGACAACTGAAGACCCTTGCAAGGAGGACTGGCTGAAGATGCTGTGTAGGCACGTGGCCAACACTATTTGTAAAGCAGATGCAGTAAGTACTCTGGAACCATGCTGCTGATTGAGACATTTCCCTCTTTTTGGCTTCAAGTACCTGAAGTGAAAGAAGTTAATAGTGGACGTGCCTGAGGTAAAGTAGAGCAGAAAACACTTGTGCTAACATGCCTGCAAGTGAGTGTTAAAAGGTAGAAAAGGAAACAGCCTGGAAGTTAGTTTGTGCAGAGGCTAAGTAGTACTTAAAAATCAAAAATTGTTTACAATTAATTTGTCATGGTGAAAAGGTATGATTCAACTCTGCACTGTAGTTCTAACAAGAACTGTGTTCAGCTTGCTTCTTTCACAGCTATCTTTGAATTTACAATCCCAGTGTTGTTGATCATTTGTGTTGGATTAACTGTGTGTTTGAGTTCTTTGCTCTACACCTATGAGGCCAGAGACATGAAGGATCTTCCTCCCACAGACAGAAATCTACAACCTTAAAACAAGGAAATAAGAAAAACAGTGAAATAAAGGAGGCACTGGCCTTGTCACATTTCTGGAAATTCAGCGTGTGGGCTTTCTATAGTCAGAAAACCACTGGTTTGAGGAGTAGATCCTCTCCAATTACAGCAAGAGGCTTTCAGCTGATGTTTTAATTATGTAAAAGTCTATGCATATCAGTCATCTCAATTTGCTGAAAATGCGTGCAATACATACAGCTGAAGCTACTTGGTGTAAACTAGAAATGCTTTATGTTCTGCGGTGTATTCTTACAGAACAATATTTGGTTGTGATTTTTAAAGACATGCTTGTTACAGGAGAGTTCATTAAGTAATGAAAACAGCATCTTAGTTTTATTTTGTGTGTCTTGTGGTCTAGGGACTTAAGAATTAGAGACTTGGACTTTGTGGTTTCCCTTCCCTTCTAGGTTCTGAGTATGAAAAGTGCTGATGTGGAAGTGTTAATTTTCTTTAATCTGTGTGTTGCCTGTCTTCAGTATTTTGTTAACATATAGCTTGGATTTTTAATAGAAATTAAACCTTTGTGTAATAAATGCACAGTTCCCTCTTGCCCCAGACACTCAATCATATGCTGACAAATTGTAACCTGCTTTGCTGAATCCCATTAGTTATAATTTCTGTACCAACCATATAATACTTCTTTCTTGCTTATTTAAATGTCAAATTGAGCTTCAATTTAAGCACTCTTGCCTGGTTTTATACTTCTAGAGCATCATGTGAATGGAGATAACATTGACTTTGCCACCTGGTGGCAGCAAAGGCTTTGGCTACTCTTCTTTAGGCCCTAGGAAGGGCCATAAAGCTGCTGACTGGGGTTCTTCTGAGATTTTTTTAAGTGTAAAACGTCTTTTCTCAAAATGCAGACAACAAACAGCAAAAAAAAAATCATCCCAGCAACTTCCCATTCCCATGTGTGCCCCTTCTGCCCCCTAGGTTTTGTAAGTAGGTAGTCAGAGATTGCTTTGCACGTGCTGGAGTTTAAGAACGAGGCATGAAAAAACCCCAAAACTCGTGGCTGTTCTGCAACATGTATTGCACTTAAGCTGAAAGTCTTTAGTCTTAATGTGTGAGAGCTGGAGCTCTCAAGATTTCACTTCAGAAATGTGCTAGATGTGTCAGTGGAATAAAGCAATGTTTGCCTTGGAAACTCCCTGGGGATGCCTCAGAACTACTGCCTTTAATTTGGTCAGCCCTGGACTTGAAACTGAATCAGACAAACTGAAACTACTGATGAAGTGGTTTCACAAACTGATTGCACTAGCTGTTGATCTCATGAAATGCCCTGAAAACAAATAGCTGCTGAACTGTATAAAGAGTTAAATATGGAATATGGCTGTTAAACCCTCTAAATCTGACCTAATGGACTAGAAAACTGTATTTTGGCAAGTGCTGATATTTGACCATTATTAAGACTATTTTTGTCTACAGGAAAATCTCATTTATATTGCTGATCCTGATTCAGTTGAAGTAAATACTAAAGATATGGACAGTACTTTAAGCAGAGCATCCAGGGCAATAAAGAAAACATCAAAAAAGGTAAGATAGTGCTTTTTATCCAGAGAATTGTGCTGGGATTCCTCTTTCAGGTGGTTTGTAGTATTTACAGTAGTGACAGGAAAAACTTAATCTGAACTAAAACTCTTCAATATAATCTCCTTAAAGAGAGAAGGTGAGGGGTGTTTAAGGTTTTGGAATATCTGTATATATGGTCTTAAGTATTACAGTCATAAGTATTATGTAGTCATTTTTCAGTCTGTTATGGAACTTATGCTCTTTAATACTTTGAGTCTTTTAAATATAATGCAAAATTGAGAAGTAACTTAAAGGAGGGGGGCCTGACTCTGCAGGACTGAGGGATGGGGGAAGCCTTGGTGACCAAACCTTGCTTTGAATTCTCCCTGAATCTCTGCCCTCCTCTCTCCCTCCTGTGTTGTCCTCATATTTGGACAGAATGAGGAGAGCAAGGATGATGGGAAGCCTTTAAAAGTCAGATCACTTTAGATGTGGGTGTTTGGCTGGTTGTGATCCAACCACCAACACTTGATCCACATCCTAGAGATTTTCAGACTGGTAGCCTGTATAATAATAGTTATTACAGCCTGTTTTTAGCCAGTGTTTAACCACTTGTCAACCTCCTCAGGTCACAAGAGCCTTTTCTTTCTCCAAAACCCCCAAGCGAGCTCTGCGGCGGGCTCTGATGTCTCACAGCGCCACGGAAGGGCGGAGCCCCAGCTCTAACGAGAGTTTCCTCGGCAGCCGCCTGAGCAGCACCTCCTCCCTGGCGGTGAGTGAGCTGGGCAGCCCAGGAAGGCACCTTCTCAGCATCACACCCCTGTCGTGGCTGCTGCTGCTCTCACTTTAGCAATTCCATCATCCACAGTGGGGAAAAAATATTTTAACTGCATTCATAGAGATGTTATTTTCAAGAGCTGTTTAATGAGAAGCCTTGCTTCTTGAAAATGCAGGAAAATCTTGATGCACTAGAAACTGGGGGTTGCCTTACACATTTAAGTTGGAAAACCCTACCAATCTTTTTTGCTCAGGATGGAATATGTTTCCTCTTCTGAGAGAGTGAGACAGTTTCAACACAAGTCTTATATTTGTTCATGCTTTTGATTTTGAACACCAAGTAGAAATGTGGTGTACAACCCTGCATAGTATTCAGTCAAAGTAGTGAGATGACAGACATCCTGTGAAACAAACTGGGAAGGAAGGGTAGAGAAACATAGATGCTGCAGCCTGCAAGTTTGTAAACAACAAGGGAATTATCTCCTCGTAAATGTTTAAGAAAACTTGGTAAAATAAAATATTGTTCTACATATTGCAACTCTTCTGCTATGCCTGGCTGCCTGTTACAGCTTTTTGCTGCTACATTAGGCCAAACTCAATTTTCTAATACAGTCTAGTAAAGCAGACTAGATTTGGAGGAATCATTTCATCATCTTTGATTTTTATTATAGTGTTTGAGTAAATTTGATAAGTAAACACCTACTTTCTAGTCTGTAGTATGTGGGACAGAAGGCCAAGAAAAGGGAATCCTTTTGATCTTTCTGTTAATGACTGATGTGTCAGTACCTCAATATTGAGGTAATTCGGTGTGTTTGAGTGGTCATTAAATTGTACAACATAAAGATATAGCCCTGCTCTCCCACATGAGAAAATATGAAGCAGTAAGGGAGGAAGTATCACAACAGACTCCCTTGCTTTAGAGGAAATAAAAAACATCATCTACCAATGGGGCTATAGCCTAGTTTTCTATAGACTTTCTTCCTTCTATTATGATTATGGCAACAATTGTTTTTGCATTCTAATTGTCTTCATTTTGAGACAGCACTGTATCTCGTTTTTCTTGAACTTGCAAGTCATGTACTTCTGTTTTTGTGCATATCTACCCCAGACAAAAATACTTCTTTTCCACAAAATCTTAGAAACTTGCAAAACCATGTTCCTGTTTCAGATTCTTCCCAGACCTCTTGCACCTGTGTTAATAAGCTGCAGCTTGGCAGCAGATGATGTGTTGTGATTTTTTTTAACCAATGCCACACACCACTGAACTTGCACAAAGCCTTTTTGGTTCAATTATAAGGTTGAGGGGAAAAGAGTTTTGGATTCCAGCCCCTTAATTTGGAATACCAGTGCAGTTGTTGATAGGAAACCAAAACTGCAGGAAACCTGTCTGAATCCATTAAGAGTCAAAGCTGTTATTCAGACATACTGTTTTATTTAAATTAAATCTTGGCCTATGCTTATGTAGGAATTTTTTGGTGCAGAAAAAAAGCAGAGTAAAAATATCAATAAAGCTTAGATGCTTGTTTTTTTTTTCCTTGTTTGAACTAACTCTTAAATCCCTCCTAACTGTAGATTGCTCGTTCCTCTTCCACGTGCAGCCTAAGTGGATCTGCCAAATGTGCTGTTAATGTCCATCGCTCCAGTTCTGTTGATTGGAGCTCTCAAAGTGCCAAGCCCCGACCTGTGCTGTGTCCTGGCTCTCCAAATACTCATCTTCCAAATGCTGTAGAAACAAAAGCCTCTTCCAACTTGGAAAGTTTAAATGGTCATGCTTTGGACAGACCACGTGCTTTCCCTGTTGTTACTGCCACTTGTGCTGATGCTGGAGATGATAACCAGTGTGGTGCTGGGAAATTCTGTGCATCAGATCCTGACTGAAGTGAGCAAGAAATCCTGAGTGCTGTAAGCTAAGAGAGCATGGTACAACTCTAATGCACAAAGGGCTTCAAGTGGTGTTGGGTTCTTCTTTAATGTCCTCTGATGCACAGGGCTGGAGTCAGCACTCATATGTGGTTCTGGTTTTGGGTGCAAACTTATTTTTTCACAAACTTTTAAATGAAATTTTTAAAATTTTTTTTTAGATTGATACAGTTGAATTCCTCCCTGTTTCAGTTCAGTTGTCCAAATGGCCATATAGATCACTGGCCAGAGTTCTGAGAACTTTAATAATTTGGTTGCAAAGAAGTCTTGAGCAGCTCATTTTACCTGTGGTTTTAGTTTTTTATTTTCTATCTGTAAATAAAAAAAATATCTGGTATAAAATACTCAAGCCTAATAAGAGCTGCTCTATAAAGAGGAGTTTAGGGTTAAATTTTCAGATATTGCCAATGACTGCAAATGGAGGACATGCATAAACAGGCATAGGGCTTGTTCATACTGAAGCGTGTATTCCCTTACTTGCCCAAAATATCCCTGTTTAAAAGATTCTTGAAGTATGCAGGTGCACAAGCTGCCCAACTACCGTGACCTGTTGATGTGCTGAGAAGCTTGGCTGGCTGTTTAAGAGCAACAGACGATTGCTTGTGAAAGTATCTTGAGGTCTAATGTGAAAAGAATATAAAATCTCAGCTAATCCAAAGGGGTTTACTTTTAGTGCTACATATTGATGTGTTGGTTTCACAGTAATTAAGTCTCAGAAGCAGCTTATTCTCCAAGCATCAGAAAAGTCAGCTTCTTGCCTAGCGTGTGCCCATCCAGGCACAGCTAAAGCAAGCTCTGACAAATCATTGGGATGTCTGTTGCCTCCTGCAGTCAAGGAGACATGTGTTCAGCATCTCATTTGGGGCTCAGAGCTGATGATAATACAGAAACTTGTAGGATTGCAGGGGGAGCTCTGTTTCTCTAAGAGATTATCATAGTGTATCTTGCCTTCATTTTGGAAGGAGATTATTACTGCAAAAAGTGATGCAAGTTGTATACTAATACTTGTTAACAGCTACTCTTCAAAAACATGTTCTTGCATTCCAAATCTCTCAAGGCTGGTAACATGGAAAAAAATCTTTCTTCTGCAATTTTTGCAATATGTTGTTTCCTGTTCAAACTCTAGAACTGTTGAATCATTAATTTCAAAAGCTGCCAATCTTCGAGATCTTCTGCACTCACACATTCCCTGTATGATATGTAAAGGTTGAGAAATGACTGCTGCACTATTGAGATTGACTCAAATGATCAATAATTTTTTTTTTTTTTTTTTGTCCAACAGAGTGTTCCTTCTCCTTCCTTGGTCAGCCTTCCCTCGATCTTTGAAAGGAGGAGTCACACATTAAGCCGATCAACAACCCACTTGATATGAGGCAGGTGGGGCAGACTCTGCTCTGTGGGAGTGACTGACAGGCAGGTGGCTGGGCAGTGACCTGTGACTGACATTAATGGTACCTTAGTCATTAGCACTTAGCAATGATTAGCAGAATGTTAGATGACACTAAGATAATCACAAGGGGGTTTAGTTGTGTTGAAGCAGATCAGCCAATCAGTGGAATAAGCAACTTGGCCTTCATTTAAGCACAATATTCCCTTGTACAGATTTATTTCCTTACCAGCATAACTGAAACGTTTTCTTCTACGGAAATTGTCCCCTCCAGGCAATAAACTGGTTTGTCAGATCTTGAAACGAAGATGATGATCACATAATTTACTGCTAGTTTGGATGACACTTATGCTTGCCTAACTTCATCTACTGGCAGAGCACTCTAATGTTTGAATTGTGAATTTCTTAAATGGAATACATTATGAAGTACCTGACCTTTCAAGTATGACAGTTAACCTGTTGTACAGCTGCTTATTCCAGATATTTTATAAATGTAGTTGTTTATAATTAAATAGAATTGAGTTTTGTGATTATGATCTCCTGCGCCTTACTGTAAACACAGTGGTATGAGGAGCTTTGACCACCGAAAATGATCAATTGAATTCTTTGTCTTGCTTTGAAGTGGAAGTCTGAGGAAATTAATTACACTCCTGTTTAGTAGGGTTGTTAAAAAAACAAACCCCCACACATTCCCCATACTTGGTTAACAAACCATTATTTAATGCATGGGATTATTGGTGTGACATTGGAACTTCAGGGTCCAATTTTGGCGTGTCAAATTTCAGTGTACAACTAAGGCTTTTAGGCTTTCTCATGTATTTATGTCTTCCTTTAAAACTATATTCACTTCTGTCATCTCTGAACAGTTTGTACCCTGCAATACACTCTCACAAACTATCTGAATATGTAAATTTCTGCATTTCATTAACAGTTCAACTGTTGGTATTAGCAGGAGTTCACAACTTCTGGTTTCTTTTTAACCACCTGTGTTTTGTCTTGTATCTATATGTAACTAGTGATGCTTTTGAATGTGTCAGACTGCACTGTTTTTTAGATCTCCTTTTGTCAATCTGAGCAATGTAAATAAACTGTTTAAAATAACTGCTTCTGGCTTTACTAAACAAGCTTTTATGAAGTTAACTCTTTTATATGGGAGGAAAAAAAAAAAGCATTGTTGGGCTCCAGCCTACAACTGTACTGATTATCTATGTAGTTATTCCTAATAAAGTATACCACTTGATAGGCCTGAATATTTTTTGTTTTTTTCTTAATATATTCATGAATCTCCCATGGATTTATGTGTCCAGTCCATGGTTTGGATTTTTTTTTTTGTCCTTGTCCATTCAGAATAAGTATCTGAGCTGAATATGCACTGACTCTTCTATCATAAAGTGGCTCCAGAAAATAAACTATTCAATAAATTCTAAAGATCTAACAACAGTTCTCAGTTTGTTTCTTTTGTTATTTTTGGAAGGCCATCTTCAGCCTGGTAACTTCTGTGCAAACTTACAGCACTATCAGCCTGTCACAGTGCTGAGTCCTGCTCTTCAGCTGTTGCACATTGTAATGGAAGAACCAGTTCTGCCCAGACTTGCTAACTCCTGGAGAAGGAGGAAGCCTGTACAAGCTTTTGGTGTGATTTTATCCACTCCTACATTGTCGATGCATTATCTTAACCTCTTATGTCAAGTTTCAGCAAGAGCTGCTTCTACTTTTATGAAAAAATAAGTGTACTGTTAAGAGATGCTAGGGTCTGCTCAGTATTTCTCTTGATGGGAGAGCGTTTTACAGCTGAAACACAGCAGCAAAATCTTGAGTAAGATGTCAGAACAGGCTAAGAGGTGGAAATGAACTTGCTGAGTTAAAAAGGTGATCCAGAGTAACAGAAACAAGCCAAAATAGGAATTCCAGAAATTCCAAAAGGAATTTTTACAAAGGAGAAGTTTGCCCCACCTTTTCCATTTCCAGTGTTAGATGTATTTGTAGCATTTGAATAATTACATAATCTTGGAGGGTATTTTGGCTGGTGTTCTTTGAAATCTGAAGTGAGACTGCTTCCCCAAATCAGAATTTTAAACATTAAACATCACCCCATGAGATGTGACTTACTGTAGTAGCAGTTCTGGTTTTTTAAAACACCTAGCTTCAGTCATGATACAGACAATTCCCATCTCCTGAATAATTTTTTGAACTTCAAATTTGGACAGTTTAGTAGATTTCAGTATAATTTCCTAAGTATTTTTTTTTTTTTTTGCGATTTAAGAGCTGTTCTGCAACTCTTTTAAGGGGAAAAAACTGGGATAAAAGGACATTCCTTTATAACTTCTCTCTGCTACAGCACCAGCCAACACATGTTCAACATACAGAATTCTGTCATTCAGAAAAACTGGAATTCTGAAGAGAAGGTCAAAAGATGGTCTTTGTTTAAAGCACAGCCTTTTCTTGTGGGCTGCACAAAAACAGTTTAATGAGCTGCTCTTAATGCTAAAAGAATCCTCTTAACCATTGCTCTAAATTGGTAATTGAAGGACAGCTGCCAAAGGAAAATGTTTTCTTTTGGGTGAGTGTTTGGTGGCGTGATGTTTAAGGAAGCAAGAGCTTGTTTGCTTGCTTAAAAAAATTAGAAGAGCCCCAAGAAGAGACTGGAAGAAATCTGGAATAGAGGTTGGACCCTAGAATTCATAAATGTACACTCAAACTATTAAAGCATTAATGGCATAACATGTTTAATCTTTCATAGGTTCTTGTTCAAAGGGAAAAGGTGGAGATGTCACAGCTGCTGAGAGCACCTGTTTGCAAATTTGTGTAGATTCAACAGGACAGCTTGACCTGTGCTTTGCAGAGAAGTAGTTGCTGTTTCAAAGGTAGGAGCTGCGAGGTGGATGTTTACAGCCCCTGAAAGCCAGCCCTCAGAGACAAAGAGGGACAGCTAGAATGTACTTTAAAAACACAAAAGCTTTTGAAAGGCTGAAAGTGCTAGCTGAGGGTGAAGGCAAACTGGTGCCACGTTCTTTGTCTTGGGACCGGTTTTAAGTGCAGAGCCAGAAACCTGCCCGCTCCCAGCAGTGAGGAAAGCTGAAATGGAAACGGGAACACCATGAAAACAAACTAATTAAACATGTAGTGAAATTGATGTCACTCTGTCAGATGTTAGGCAAACAACAGCAATTTTTTGTTAAGAACATTACCGCTAGTGAGGGCAGAATTTTCAGCTGGCACAGACTATCCTGTCAGCCTCTATACAAGTGCAACCAGGCCTTTGTATACTTAATTTAGGCAGTTAGAAGTGCAATTACCACCCTACCTGCAAACTGTAATTAGTTTAAGCTGTGTTGGTGCCTTTATCAGCTGATCCATACACTGACACTGACTTCAAGAACAGAGCCTGACTATTGTGGGAGCTACCCTCAGTTTTTGAAGTAAGTTGTTATATATAAATATATATATGTGTTTGTGTATTTAGATAAACAAAAGGCTCTTACACAGATATATGAAGCAGCCTTTTACTTTTACCCCCCTGTAGGCAGGCCTAGTGCATGTACTTTATATGAGTGAAATTAAGGAATTTAAAAATTGAGGAAAGTTCTGATATTTACACTTACATGGGTAAAAAGAGGAGAACCTCTACACCTCATTCCCCCTCTTCCCCCAGCTCCTCAATTTCTTTAAGGGCTGAAGAAGAAGAGGCTCTTGGCCTAATGCTGGAGTGCCCAGTTTTGCTGGTTAGTCTCAGGATTGCTGTAGAGCCCATTCTGGCTTGGGGGAAGTAAAATCTTGTACCTACCAAAGCCCAGGAGCAGGTTGTGTTCTGCTGCTCCTGCTCAGGTTTCTCTGGCAGCTCTGAAGAGCAGATAAAGGAGGATTTTTACACTTCTCTCACCTTCTTCTCCATCCAAAATGCAACAACCTGGTAAGTCCACTATCAATTTATTAATGGATTCTTTAAAATGGAGTTGAGTGGAATATAGACAGTAGTGCCTGGGCTCTTGGAGATTTTGAGTTGTGTACAGTTAACAAAGGTAATGCTTATTAATGTTTGTTTGTCAGTGTCTGGATATGCCAACTGCCTCTTGTAAATACTCAGCTTGTGCCTTCACCCAAACCATCAGTGATGCAGTGGTTGTGTTGGATTGTGAACTCCTACACACTTTGTGCTGCTCTCTGATGGCATTTCAGTGGTTTCTCCAATGTTTCAGCCTGGAGGGAATGTAAATATAAGCATAAATGGTTTTGAAAGTGTGCCTTTTTTCTGTGTTTCAATGGCTCATGCATTAGAGTTGGTATGGCTGACAAATCAGCACTGATTGCTAATTAAAAAGTGGAATATATTAAGGAATTTCACACTTCCACTTCTGCCTCCAATTGAAACCCTGGCTGTGTGAGTGTGTACTAGGGAAGCTCTAATGGATGCAGTCTAATTACTTGCCATTTTTGCTTTGACTTAACAGTTCATGAATTACAGTAACTCTGACTAACAGATCACTGCTGATTACTAATTAAATGGCAGAATTTGGTTTAATGCACCTCCAGCTATTACCCCCACAAAAAGTGACATTCCACATATTAACAAAAAAGCTTTTTCTCTGCTTGTTTGTTGATGTGTAAAAGCTGATGTTATCCTGCCTTTGGAAAGGAAAAGTTCTTTGGGCACATTTAACAATAGCAGTTGATAAATACATTTCAAAAGTAAAGTTGTTGCTACACTGCTATAAATGAGGCTTTGGGGAGAAAGTGTTTCAAGTCAGCTGTGCTGGGTTTGGCTGGGGTTAATTCTTTTCACAGTAGCTGATGTGTGGCTGCCCTTTGGATTTGTGCTGGGAGCACTGTGGATAACTCCGGGATGTTTTGGTTATGGCTGAGCAGGGCTTACAGAGCCAAGGCCTTTTCTGCTCCTCACCTCAACCCCACCAGCGAGGGGGATGCACAAGGATTTGGGAGGGGACAGAGCCAGGCCAGCTGACCCCATGAACCAAGGGATATTCCAG